TCGCTATGGAAACAACCTCCTTGTATAATTACAAGGGTAAGGTCTGCGTACAACTGACCCCCCAGACCCCAACCTGTTTGGGAATATACTGGGTATGTTGATGATTGATGATGATATAAATTTTAACAATAAAGGATAATTGAAATTCCAAACAGTACTTATAAAATAAATGTAAACAAATTCTAGAATCATGCAAGGAAACGAAGCGAAGCGAAGTGAAGTCAAACAAGCAACGGATTGAGCAACTAGCGCGATTTTATTTTAAATGAAAACATAAATTAATAAAAATCAAAATATTTCCATAAATTGTTGCCATTAAGCTAATTGACCACAAACCTTAAAAATGGTAATCTAAATTAATATATATTAATCTTGAAAATTATAAGAAAATAAAATAGTTTTGTAAATTATCATAAATTATTATGGTACTTTTATTTTATTTCACGATTTTACACTTTTTTAAACTTTTTTAGCACTTTATTCTTGTGACAATCTTTTTAAGTCTAAAAATTCTTATTATAATTTAGAAGAATATATTTCTAGTTGTTTGTTGTTTATTGTACATAATTTTATGAATGCTGATACTTGACCTCACAAGTTCTGGATTTATCTCATTTTTATTAAACTAACATGGAATTTAATTTGATATTTATTTTAACTGTTTTAGTAGTTAGATTGTTTTTTTTCTAGTTTATTTTCTATTATCAGTTTCTTCTCTTACTAGTACAAATCTCGTGCGATGCTTGAGTAAGAAATTTTGTTTAATCTTTATAAATTAAAATTGCTCATTAAATAATATTTATAAATTAAAAATATGGAATTAATATGTAATACAACTTACCTATATTAATTTGTTGAAAATGCTATATGAAATATAAATTGTGTAAAATTACATAATATATGTCTATATAAAATTAGTACACGACCCGTACAGTCAATGACCCAAAAAATAGTTATTAAAAAATAATTAAATAGAAGCTGCCATTAATACTATTATTTTGGAATAATTTTATAAAAAAAGTATTATTTAATAAATCAACCAAATTTACCTAACTGGGTAGTTAGGGAATCATAAAAATGTATATATTACGGTCTAATTATTTCCTTAATTATCTACAATTTAAATAATTAAATACACAAAAAATAAATAACAATTATTAAATAACATTTAAATAACAACTATCATTAGCACAATTTTTTTAGAACATTTTTTTGCAAATCACATAATTGGTTATTTTAGTTGATATTTTCATAATTCTAGTAATTATTTGCAGATTGAATAAATCATTTGGAAATACATAATTTGCGTAATTAAGGTATATTAAAAATGCATTTCACAAAAGAACTAGTGCAGATCTCGTGCGATGCACGAGGTGCACAATTTTAAAGTTATGTACCTAGTTTTATTATTATATCCGTGAATAAGAAAAATAAATAGAATAAAATAAATAGTACTATCATATATTATTAAAAACCTCCTTGTAGGCAATATTTCATCCTCCCTGCAAACTAATATTTTCAAGTTCTTTGACACGGGAAATAGCTACATACAATTGGACGTAACTACTGAACACCGACTTCTTTCAAGAACATGCAACATGTAATAAAGACTGACCATGACTCTTGTTAATCGTCATGACATAAGAAACTATTAGGGACATTGACTCCGTTAAAATTTTAAAGGTACTCTAAAGTCGGAAGGTGTTTGTCATCTGAGGTATTAACACCTTCAACACCTTGTCTCCTGCTTGTCTCCCGCTGTAGATCAAGTCAATACCTTACACTCAAGTACATGAGTAGAGAGTTTTATGACAACCAATCTCGTACCTTACATTTAAGCACATGAGTACTAAAGTTATTACCATAAACTTTGAATATTAATGTTAATATTAGTATTAGTATTATTATTTATATAAGAACATGAATTGCAATGAAAATAAATGAAACCCACCTCCTCGCCATGAAATAGAATTTCCACATAGTTTTCATTTTAGTGCGAGCAATTATTCGAATTACCCGCAACATCAAGCATGGTTTATCGGTTCTTGAAATTTGCTTTGGCAAACCGAATTTACACTTCATGTTGAAAGTATTGTAATTTTCTAAATTCAAAATAAAAAAAAGAATATTTTGCATGTGAGTTAGTACATGATTTATCTATTAATTTATAGAGTTAGTAAAAGGCTTAAAATAAATTCCAAAAATACTTTAATTTGAAAATAATGTAAAAAAAACAACTTGTGGTCGAGCAATTGCATCAATGTAATTAATTTGAAAATATTATTTACTCATGTTAAATTATAATGATTTGATATTTGATTTACATCAATTTTATATTTATTTTGCATCAATTTTATATGATATACAACTTTGTTATAAGTCACAAGCTATAATTTCAAATATTTTTACATCATATGATATACAACTTTGTCATATTTCAAATAAAAATATGACTTAAGAAATTGGTATTTTTATTTTTTCATCATAAGTCATACAACTTATCTGATAAGCTTCTTTATGTAGCTTTTCAAATAAGCTAGTTGAATTGTTTATTTCAGCTAGTTTATCAACTAATTTTACCTAACACTTTTATCATATAAGCTAGCTTTTCAGCTATAAGTCATAAGCTATAGGCTAAAAAATTGTTGATAAGCTATAAGCTAGCTTATCAGCTAGTTTTACCAAACATAGCCTGTATATATATAGGATGTGGTTCAAATGAGAACAAGTCTTAGTGGAGAACCGTGAGAACCGCTATTTTTAATTTTGCGTAGTGCTATGATTGATTGTGTTTGGTGCTATTTTTTACCAAGATGAATTTCATTAAAAATAGCAACACAATTTATACCGACATTTGTGAAAATGATAACATTATCTAATATTAAAAATAGCATCATATACAATTAAAAATAGCATCAAATATGGTTCTCACACCGACACTAGTTTTTATTTGAACCAACCTATATATATATATATATTATTGTACATACAAAATAAATAAATAATATTATTTATTTCTATAATAAAAAATAAATTATGGATTAATATTATTTGAAAAAAATGAAAATAAATAAGTTAATTCATAATAAAATGTAATTATATGATATAAGTCAATATATATATATAACATAGGATAAGTTAAAAATTACGAACATAAATTTTAACGAACTCTGGAGCATTGATAAATAAATTGTTAAATCACCAAGTAAAGTTTGAGAACTGAATTGTCTATGTGATAGATTTCCATGTATCCAATTAAATAGTTATCATCTTACTATTACACACATAATGATATAGGGCATTGCAATTTTACTATATACGAGCGGGATTATGAAACGAAGAAATATCTGATAATTGTAGGTGTTTAGAACTTAGCATATTACTATATTCGAGCGGGATTTTCAAAAATTTTTTAAAAAAATTACTTATTTTAGTAAATCTGAAATGTTTAGGCAGGAATTGAGTTACTATTTAAGGTAAATGCCAAAACTTTTTTATATATATATAGATTACACAAAATATATATAACATTTATTAATAATTAATTACACAATTTAGGTGGAAGATTGTTCCAAATCACATAATTGATATTGCAACCTAAATTCCCATATTTAAGTAAATCAACCAAATTCACATGATTTGAGTAATTAAGAGCATGTTCGTTTATAAGAATTTTCAAAAATTTTCTAACATTTTAACTCAACTACTTTTTTTAACTCAACTTTAACTCAACACCACTATGATCAATTTTATCGATCACTTTAATTCACTATTCATCTACTCACATAATTTTAACTAACCATCACATCACATCTTCTCTCTCCTACTTTTACTTCAATTTAATTTTAATCATTTTATTTTAAATATTTTTTTAATACATCCACTAACAACTAACCATACCACATTTTCAAAATTAACTAAACCAAACCAAAAAATCCAAACAAACTCAAAAATTTCATAAACAAACATGCTCTAAGGTATCTTAAAAATGATAATTTTAAATACCATAAATAATGAGCCGCAATTTCCATAATTGATTATTTCAAATATACCATAAATTGTTAAATTAATTTCTTGAAATCAAACCTTTTTATATAAATATAGATTATTAGGAATTTAAGTTTTTAAACTTATGGTTAATTGGATTCATGTACTTTTGTAGATTAGTTATTTTGTTTTATTCTGTTTGTATATAAGTATTCCAAAATTGATTTGAATACTCAAAACATACAAATTTGACAATTATTTATGGAATATAAACTGATCTTTGATGGAATTGCACATAATTTTTATGGGATATGCACCTACTATTTACCAAAATTAATGAATTAAGAGTTGTCAAGTAGATCTCTCATGCCAATTAATTTCGATAGAGCATCAACATTAAAATAAAACCGTCTTGATTTTTAAATGCATTATTGTAACAAAATTAAGCAATTTGGTTATCAAAAAATAAGGATCATAATGATTGATATCTCAGATTTTTTAAGCCTCATTTGCACGTGATTTTAAATAAATAAATCAAATTGATTACTTACAACTTAAAAGTATCTAAAAATCCGGAAACAGATAAATGATTTGCGAAATTAATTAGCAAATTTGGTTTTAATCATCTTACTTAAATTAGGAAGTCAACTTTTATTTTTTAGTCAAAATTTCTATTTAGGTATTTTCCAACAACCTTTATATATATATTTACTATTTTTATAAGTTTTCGTTTTTTTTCTTCAAAAAATCAATTTATCTTTTATTTGTTAAATTTGTAATATTAATATTTATGTTGAAAGACCATATTTTGAAGGCGAGCATTGGTTTTAGTCGTCAAAACCTGTACATGGATGCATTTAAACAAAAAAATGTGTTTGTCAACCTTGGAATAACAGGAGGCAAAGTGTGAAAATGCCTATAGTTGGGGAGGCAATTCCTTTATTTATTATTTCTCACAGGATAAAGCTGATTGGGATTGTTTTAGTGATTCTTATATGGTTGTTGTGCTTACTTACAGACTGACCAGAAGCTTCGGGTCTGTGACATTTGTGGCGCATTTTTGAGTGTCTATGACAGGTAAATTTATGATATACCTCTGGTTAAAACAACCCACTTCCTTCTTGTAGGATAAAAAATAGTTATGATAAAAGTGGGTATTTCATTATTTGACTCGGTGATTACACCTCCTTGTCACCAGCAGGCTTTTGGGCCCAGTTTTACGTGGAAAACTTTTGCAGCTAAAGAATGTGCGTTATTTTCTATTTTGTAATTGTTGATGTAGCCAGAGAATTTGCTAGGCTTTTCTTTCATGATTTCTTTGTGCTCTAAGTCATTAGGGATGTTATGACAAGTAAATGTTTTGTGTGCTTAGTGACCGCCGATTAGCAGATCATTTTGGGGGGAAGCTCCACTTAGGCTATATGCAGGTTCGTGAAAAGTTAGCCGAGCTTCAGGTATGCTCATAGAATCTGCAATAAACATATTTGTCACTGAACTATACTTGATGTGTTGTATATTTTCTCAACCCGTATATTTGTTGGTTCTTTATCTCTCTGATTATTGGGCATAGCAATTCAATTGTTCTATAACCTTTTTTTTTCGGATATGAATCTCGTTTTTGTTTTTGTTTTTGTTTTTGTTTTTTTTTTTTTTTTTTTTTTTTTTTTTTTTTTTTTTTTTTTTTTTTTTTAAGTTTAGACCTTTTTTCATGCAGGATTTTTAAAAGTGTATTTTAAATTTATTAATTTATTATCAGCTTTATATACTATGGTATATTAAATTAATGATCTTTAATTAACCATTATTTGGATAATATTTTTGTATTTATATTGTATATAACAAAAAAATAGGAATTTAAAAAATTAATATATTTTTTATTAATTTAACACTACTAATAGATGTATTGATTTAATATATGGTGGATTGAAATACTTATTAAGTCTTTTTCTATGTTTTATCATATATAAATATTACAAATATTAGAAAACATTGAAATGTAATAATACTCGTTATTCATTTAATAAATAGGCAGAAAATGAATCGGTATATAACTTAATTGTTATCTCTCATAAATTTATATGTAATGTTATCCATATTTTTTATTTAATGTCTATAACTTATATTTCAATTGTTCTACTGTTGAATGAACGATTTCCAAAATCCGGTCACATACCCAACGAATTGGTTGCCAACAAAAGCGAACTGGTCCAGAAAGCGCAGCTTCATCTTCCAGCAGAGATGGCCAGTTTCCAGATGCAATCATCACTCATATGCCTTACTAATTTCCTGAGGAAGGTGTTCTAACAGGGTGATGCAATAATAAGAAACACCAAATGAAGCTCCAACCCAAATGAACGAACTTGAAAAACATTGTCCCTTGTAGGGACATGGAGTAGAAAGAAATTCACATGCCAACCAAAGGAAAGCATGCTAAGTCTAGAATTCACCCAAGAGAAAACAAATTACAACTGGCTCATTTATGGTTCGATTACTAACGATAAATTAAACGAATCCTGCATCTCAACAATCATATAGCAACCACACCCCTTCCCGTACGCTTCCTTTCAACGGCATATACTCTACTGTTGAATAACAAAAAGAGGCTGCGCACAGAGAGAGAAAATGTGTGAGGACATCAAGAAAGTATGAGAGGAATTTGTGACTTAATAATTACTGTGGTTGGACAGGAAACTTACGGCTCCGACACTGACTGGCTTCGCATCATCTACTAGGATCTCAACCAATGTACCAGACTGATCAGCCTGCATTTGTAAGTTTCATTACCTCAACAGTCAGGAATAACCAGATTATGCACTAACCAATGTATTACTGAATAGATCATAGATAAAATGTTGTGCTTACTTCAATCTCATTCATCAATTTCATGGCCTCAATGATGCATAGAACTTGACCCTTCGTTACTTGATCCCCAACCTGCAGTATATGTAATAAGATCATATATATATATATATATATATATATATATATATATCTAAGCTCCCTTTCAAGATCACAAATATCCCCTTCATATTTGTATCTAATTTTTAAAAATTGCAGACCTCAATAGGTTATATTTATTGAGAAATGCAAATCGACATGGGTCTCTATTATAGTATAGGGGTCACTTGTAATTTCGGAGTATAATTGGGTTTTTCTCGTATAAGATATAACGTCAAGGTTGTTTTCATAATCATTACTAAATGTGGAATGATGTCTTCAGATGAAATCAGTTCCAAAAAATTTTGTTAACAACATTGAAAACACTCTATAATGTGGACTTAAAACAAATGAAGTCAAGGCACAATAAAACAAGACTCTCAGTCATTACCTTGACAAATGGTGGTTCACCTGGTGCTGGACTGCGGTAGAAGGTTCCTGCCATGGGGCACTTAAAAGATGGAAGAGATGACTTGGCTGCGGGCAGAGCAAGTGCAGGCTTTGGTTGAGGAGAAGGTTCTGCAGTTGGAACGGGAGACACTGAATGGACTGGGGGCGTAATTGCAGGTTGAGGCTGAGACAGAGGCTGAGGCAGTGTCTGGATGTACTGAACAGGTGGCTGTGGTAAGGCCTCCTTTTTACGTATTAAAATTTCACAATCCACTTGTTTCAGTTGCAGTTCCACAATGTCCTTGGAATCAACTAGTCTGCATTATGGGAAATGATATCATCTCATTTATGATTTAAAATGGGGAAAGTGGTGCTCATTCATGGATAATTGCAAAGACTGCCCATGTGGTTTGACTTAATAATTGGAAAAGCCCAATTATCCTGCACGTTAACAACTACCCCCTAACCTACTTTAGATTCACACTTTTAACTAATGCAATTGATATTGTAGGGAGAAATCTTGCAAGTTAGGAATAGATATCACAGTGCGTAACTTTCAAAGATATTTGAGTCTCGGAATTTGAGGAAATCTCAAGTGTTTTTGGAATCAACCCTAGGAATATGTTAGAATGCATACTTGACAAGACTCGCAACTTGATCAATAAATTCAGAGATTGATTCTTCTGATCTCAAAGAAGCAGGTGGCTCATTTGACAGCTTGATTTCCTTAGATTCGTCCAGTGATCCCTCCAGTTTCACAGCAGTTTTTGCCGAACCATCCGTAGCGGCCTTTAATGCAACAGACAACTCCAATAAAGTTTTAATAAAGGAAAGAAAATTTAAAAATAGTTCTTTAATTGAATCCACAGGGAAAAATGTACCTCATTCATTTGAGCTCTTACCACAGGAGAAGAATTCCACCCAGACCGCACGCTCTACAAAATGAGAATCCACATCACTGTTATTGATGTCAATGAAGCAAAACACAACTATCAATAGTAAATTCTATAGGTGAAAAAATCCAAAATCATAGATTTGCACCATTATATATATATATATATATTGTTTATTATTTGGTTCTAACTTCTTAATAGAAATTATATAATATACTTTGGATGAACTCCCGAAGTTTAGTAACAAAAGAGGTCTTCAGTATTTTCATTGTATCTAGAATGTTTGATGACAAGGGATGACAAAGTACAGAGTGTCGTGATGCTGGGAGTCAACAAGTCTCACAAATTCACTTCCCAAAAGTAACTTGATACCCCCCTTCAAGTAATTTTTAGATCAGTACTATAAGGACTCATTATTCCCCAGCTGAAACATCAGGTTCTGAACTAGTCAGATTCTACCATATATCTATCAAATGAACAGTAATAAAAGTAATAATAATAATAAGAATAATAATAATAATTAAAAAGTGGAAGAACAACGCATGGCATGGGTGTGAAAGCTTAATCGAGAAAGAATGAAAGTTTCCGGCCAATTATGTTTTACCAAGAGCCTCAGATATTATAACGTTACAGCACACACTTCATTTTAAAGTAAAATGCTGCAGGCACCTAAAGCTATTCAACTCAACAGGACTTCCAACAAACATGGAAATAAAAAATGACTCCTCATTCTTGCTTTGAGGCGTGCATTTCCTAAGGGACATGAAGTGACGATGATTTGAATTGGGGAAGCTGCTATGCATATCCTAATCAAAAAGAGTACTTTTGAAGGCACACTTTCTAGATATATCTACATAGGTATATAATAAACACGTGCACCAAGATCCATCTAACACATCTTCACACCGACCAAACCCCAAGCTAACAAGGACAGCGAAGAAGATAAGAGCTATGGCATCAATATCATGAGACGAAAGCAGGACAGCAATATTCGTTCGTTCATTCATAATTGCGAAATGCAAAAGATTTAGGAAGCGTGTACCTTCGTGTAGAGGCGGAGGTCGGGCTTGGCGGAGAGAAGGAGCGCAACCTTGTCGGAATGGGAGAGATAGGATAAATGCCGGCGGCAGATGGGCAAATAGGAAGAAGCAGAGATGTTGGGAATCTCCTTCACCGAAGACGCAGCCGCAGCTCCAAAGGATGCCGCCATTGATCTTGGACTAAGTAAGAGCTGTAAGCGCTCAAGGAAATTAGTGGTGTGATTGTGAAAAATTGGAGCAAATGTGCTTAAACTGCGGGGTGAGTGTGTGGGAAATATAGCAGCGGCGATGAAAACAAGGAAATTGGGGAAGGGCTGAGATTAAACGACGCCGTTTGGATCTGACTGGAAGTAAGTTCAACAGGTGGTCCTTTGATGTGGATTTTTTTGTTAAATTGTGTACTTTGTGCTGTGTGGGAAGTACTTCCGCGCTACTGTTGGTTTGACGGGGTGTGGCAGGCAGGCAGTTACGTTTCACCGACACGTGTCGGTTAAAAGGTAGGTTTATATAGTATTCAACAACTCTCACCTAAATTTGTTGCTCCTCATGTTATTATTTTCTGTTCCTCTTAAATTAAACAATGAATTAATACATCATCTATTTTTTTTTTTTTTTTTG